GCAAAACTCTAAAGGGGAGAGTAACAGTGCTTTCTGCGCCACTCTATGGGCAGCACTGTTAGCAGTCCGAGGAACTGCCCTAAACTCTAAAGAAATAGAGACGGAAGAAAGGAGAAGGGAGCAATCCCGAAGCACCGGACCTCCAATGGAGTCAGAGAGAGCACCTTGACGAAGCTGCCGAATCACCACCTCTGAAACTCCTTCTATGATGACCCAAGGCAGCACTTTGGAGACTACAAGGGCGATGGCGTCCCTAGCTGCTAGGAGCTCCGCAAGATAGGGATCAGCAATACCGGGATGGAGAGACCCTAAAGCCAGAGCCACATGCCATCTGAACTGCGCACCACAAGACCAGACGAGCACCCAGAAGGACGAACAGCAGCATCAAAGTGGATCTTCACAAAGCCAACAGGAGGAGGGGACCAAGACGAGAGGCGAGAACGGGAAGGCTGGGGCGGAGCAGGGACCAAAGGAAGGGAGGAAGACAGATCGCGAACTTGGAAAAAAACACTGACGAGCGAGAGACCGGGCATGAGGCTGGACATGCTCAAAGACCACCTTATTTATAGACTTCCAGATCCTCCATAATACACAAACGTATAGGAGAATGTGGGTTTGGGGGTGCTCAGAAAGCATAACATGTCGCCACCAGAGACTGAAATTCACAGTCGGGGCCGAGGAGATGAAATCATTTAGACCCATGAGCGACCACAATCTTGTGGCCAAGGGGCATTTGAAGAACAGATGTTCAAGACTTTCCGGTCTTCTCCAGCAAACCGGGCAGCGAGCTAGACAGTTTACTCCTCTGGTACTTTGAAAACCATAAATTAATTAATTCTAAAAGTCAAAAATTAAGAAGTTAATTCTTTCTATCCCATAATTTGATATATAAACCAACCATAAAGGTTGTAAAGCGCCATAAAAGGACCGCTTTAGTGACTCATTAATCACTTGTAACGGATCATTAAGGACCCAATAACATCAAATAAAATAACTGATGTATTAAAACCCAAATAAATGGACCAATGAGGCCATTAATTGGTTAAGAGCCAAAGTTAGCTTGCTAAGCTTCCGCCCACTTTTAAAAAAAATTGCTTTAGTTAATCACTAAATTCTTGAAACGTTTAATCAAAAGGCCATTAAAACCCCAATAACATCAAATAATTGATGTAATAAAACCCAAATAGGGAATTAACGACACCAAGCGTCAAATCAGTCCGAAACGGACGAATGCAGCCATTAAATGATCATTTTAATGCTCACCGGACGAGCCGGTTCGGAACCCGGGGCTGGCCGGGTCGAACTCCGCCGCGATGAAGTGGAAGTAGATGTTCTCCGGCGGCGGCGGCCTTCCCACTTGGAGGAGGAGTGCTACCCCACTTGTTCAAGTGGCTGTTGTTCAAGGAAAGCGCGTTGTCGAAAGACTCCAAAATCTCCTGGACAACCCCTTGCCTGCCGGTTGACTGCTGCTGTTGACTCGTGTTGTCCTGCTGCAGCTCAGGATGACAACGACGGTCGGACTCGTGTTTCCTTTCCCTCTGCTTACTGCTAAGGCTAACCCATTTTCCATCCCTCTTTTTTCCTCCCTTCCTCTTTTCTGGATTTCCAAAAAGCTCCATCCCCTTTTCCAGTTTCCCCTTCCATTTCTCGATTCCAAGGGTTTTGAATGTCTTCTGCGCCACCGCTACAGGAACCATCTCCTGCGAAACTCGCCGCCTCTCCTTCTTCCTCCTCCTCCTCCTCCGAAGGAGACGACGACAGAAGAAGCAACAGCATCAAGGAAACCGAGCTGAGACTGGGCTTGCCGGGCTCGCAGTCCCCTGAGAGAAAGCATCAATTCCAATCTCCTTCTTCAGGGCTGTCTCTGTTTGGCAAAGATATCAAAGATGCGACGAATCTGGTGTCAGGGGCGAAGAGAGGGTTTTCAGACGCCATGAACGGGTCTTCTCAGGTTTTGATGATTCTGCGTCTAGCCTTGTATCCCCTTCTATGGACTCAGAATTCGATACTATTGACAATGTGACGCTTCTTGATTCAAAATCTCCGCAACAGCACAACGTATTTGATGTAATGATGAAGTTGGAAAGGAGTGTTCCCTTGAATGCATCATTGTTATTCAGAACCCGAGATTAACTTCTCTAGGAACAAATAATGATAAACTACGTCGGGAAGCAGCGGTTCATGTGCAAACCCCCCCACCACCTATGCAACAGTTTGTATGGATATTTTATTTCAATCCAATCTTATGTCGAAACATCAAACAAACATAACTTTGTGCTCGCGTACCCGATCGTACCGAGTTTTTTATTCCGCTTAACTTTCCGAGATCTTGCATGGCGAAACTTCTGCAGGCGCTTTGGTCCCACTTTTGTCCTAGAAAAACGTCGTTTGTTTCCCCGAACGAGCTTTGTTCCGATCGATTTCGCCAAACTTTGGACGACTATAACTTTAGGCTCCGCACTTCGAACGTCATGAATTTTTTTTTTATTTCGCGTAACTTTAGAAGGACTACAACTTTTACATGGAAGGAATTTTCAAAACAGGAATTATTTCTGGATATACGGGATTTTGGGAATAGCTTTACCTTCACTTTTCACAAATCCAAGTACATTCAGAAATTATGAATATGATAAAAATTGTAGTCCTTGAAAAGTTAGACGAAATAAAAAAAAAAAATCATAACATTCGGATTGCGGAGAACAAAGTTATAGTCGTCCAAAGTTTGGCGAAATCGGATAAAAGCTCGTTCGGGGTAGCTAACGTCGTTTTATCGGGACGAAGGCAGGACCAGACCGCCTGTGGCAGTTTGCGGCTTGCAAGATCTCGAAAAGTTATGTTGGAATAAAAAAAAATCGCTACGATCGGATACCTGAGCACAAAGTTACGTTTGTTTAATATTTCGACTTAATAGGGCCTCCAATCGCGGAATTGAATATCATTTCATCCAAATAATGAACTCCTCATTATCCAGCCACCTTCCTTCCACAAGTTTACTGACTTCAATATGGATAACAGAGCACAATCCATCAAATGGAAACATGAAGAATCACAAGGAACGACCAATTGAGAGCCAAGCAACTCTCCACCTCTAATACACGAAATAGAAGATACTTGTCAATTGTCATGAATTAGGTCAAATCGAATGGACGAAATTGTTCTACCATCGCCTCTACACCCCAATCTGAAAAGGCGGATATCGAGATCGTACTCTCGAAAGAAGGGAAACAACCATGAACTTTGAGGATATTAATCTGGGCTAATCGATGCTACTAACCTTCTTGGATTGCTCGAATCCTACGAGATCGATTAATGCTAGAGATTTGGGGATTTATAGGATTAGTTTGGAGCAATGGATCTAGGGATTTTGGATCTTTTATAGAGAAAGCGAGAGTGAAGAAAGGTAGATGAGATCTGATTAGAGCGCTAGCTTTGGGGAACTGCTGGCTGCCTTCCTCACACCATCGACCCCAACACTGCTCGGTGACTCAAAGTATTGGATCTTCCTGGGAGAAGGATAACGCCATTTTTCTTTCTTCTGGAGTTGGATTGCGTTTTTTTCTACGCGAGAGCGATTAGATGAGAGAGAGACAGAGGGGAGGGGTCATAACTAATGTTCTAATTGAATAAATATCTTTTCCAAAAAATAATATTTTATGTCACTACTTACATTGCCACCAAAACGACATTTAACATATGTAAAGATAAACTGTGCCTCATAAAACAATGAACTAAAGGTGACGTTGGACTGCATCACAGGAAAGATTTATTTCGTCACGAATAGTTTTTTGCTAGGTCTGACAAAAAATTTAAGCTTTTTGTGACAAGCAGTAAATTTCGTCACACAAAATGTACATTATGTGACGAAATTTGACCCATCACAGAATATTTTTTCACAGAAGAGTAACTTTGTTGTACTGTCGGAAATAAGAAGGCGAGATCAAACCGCCTACGGCAGTTTGCGGCTTGCAAGATCTTGAAAAGTTATGCGGAATCAAAAAATATCTCGCTACGATCGGATACCGGAGCACAAAGTTACGTTTGTTTGTAGATTCGACTAAAGTCGGATGAAAAAAATATATATATACATACAAACAGCTGCTTCTCGGCGTAGTTTATTAGACCACCACGCCCCAATGCGGTTTTCAGTGAAAAAGGCACCCTCCCCAAGCGATTTTCGGGAAATGTGGTGTTTTTGGAATTTTTCGGAAATTGGTGGTATTTTTGAATTTTTTTATTAAGTGGTGTTTCTGGAAAAGTTCCCCGTACTAGGGAAAACAATCAGAATTTAAGAAAGAAAAAAAGCTCTAGAATAAAAATAACCGTAATACAGTCCATTCTATAACTTTAATTGCATAATTAACCCTTGATCCTATTTGCACAGGAATACCTCTTTAAAATTGATAATCAAGATACCACAATAAAAGCGCTCAACTGGATAAGGATCGTTATCTCTACAATCAAATGAGGGTGGTAGATTTTGCATCCAATCAGTCCCAGTTCAGTGGAGATTTATAATAAGCAGGAATTTCTAGTAGGGCGATGTAGCTAGTGTTAGGAACAGAATGATTCAAACACATCATTTTGCTCGCATTTTCGAAGAATTTTTCTTGTGACCCGTAGGGTTTTGTTGATTACCGAGATTAATTATATGTTAATAAAAGATAATGAGGGTCTAGCAATGCACGTCGAGGATTCGGTAAGATCTATCTAGGATCGCCACAATTACGAAATTAAAGGATTGAATTTGGGAAAATGACTTATGAAATTTGTAAATTGGTAGTAGTGGGATATTAACTAGTTATCATTTTAAGGATCCGAAATGAAACATTAGCATATAACCAATGAAATTATAAAAATTGGATAAGTCATTTTAATAATATACAAATACAAATGAAACAATGTTTATGAGAGGGTACTAGGCTGATTACGTACATAATAGGAAATTTAAGACAATAAATAAATGAATATTTGTGCATCAAGGAAGGGAAGGGAAGAGGTAATCAGTTGGCAAGCGAATCTGTTGCACCAAAAAGCGGATGGTTGTGATTGTGGCCTCCATCAACTATCAAATTCAATCCGCTCACGTATTTTGCATCGTCACTGGCCAAGTATAAGGCAGCCCGAGCAACATCCTCGGGTTCGAGGATAGCCCCTCTCAAGTTTCCAGCGGCGGACATGAATTCCTCAGCAGCCTTCTTGTCCATTTGCATGCCGCTTGTGACCATGGGAGTGGCCACTCCATAGGGAGAAATGGTGTTGACCCTGATGCCGTACTTGCCCAGCTCCACGGTCAAGTTGTTGTTGAGCCCCAAAATAGCATGCTTGGAAGCCTTGTATGCGTAAGACAAGTCGCCACTTATAGAAGCGGCAACGCTGCCGGTGAACAAGATGCAACCTTTCCTTGCGGGAATCATAACCCTGGCGGCGTGTTTGGCTCCGAGGAAGGATCCGAAGAGGTTGATTTCAAGCACCTTCTTGAAGTCGGCGTTGTCCGAGTTTAAGATGGTGGTGTCGAGGTTACCTCCGATTCCAGCGTTGTTGTACATGATGTCTAGCTGGCCGTACCTTGACACCGCTGTATCAACGGCATTCTCAAGGTCAGAATCACTTGTAACGTTGCAGTGGACAAAGGAGACGATCTCCGGCGGGCCGAGATCCATGGCGAGGGACTGTCCGAGTTTGTCTTGAACGTCGGCGATGAGGACCTTGGCTCCGTGGTGGACGAACAGCCTGGCGGTGCTCTCGCCTATGCCGCTAGCTCCGCCGGTGATGATTGCCACTTTGCCCTCCAGCTTTCTAGGAGAGGCGGTTGAGATATCTGAGCTCACCATGTTTTGTTTTCTTTTGTTTTGTGGGGGAAATGAGTCGAGAGAGAGAGAATCAGTTTGCTTGCTGATGAATCTTTGTTTTTAAATTTGCCTTCGGTAAGAAGATGTTTGCTTGTGGTTGTTGGTTGAATGAGGGCTGAGCGTTCTTTATATATAGTTCTAGTTCTACATGCAGGCAAACCAATTTAGCGTGTCCTTTGACAATTAATTAATGGTGTACGTATTATAACATTCCATCGTAGAATAGAATGGGGAGAGGAGATGAATATATAATTAGTTTCAAGGGTCAAGCCAATGACCTGAATCACAAGGTCAAGGTGAAAATGCGTACGTAGAAAAACAGTCCCGACGCGCAAGGCGCATAGACGTACGTAAGCCAATACCTGAATTATTTGGCTGCCTTCTTTGTTCACGAAGCCGTCACAACTGGGTGTTCAAAAATTCAACCAATATCCATCACAAAAAAATCCAACCCATACACACGCTTCATAATAATTATATTAAAAAAAAACCTTGCGTTAGAGACCTTCTACTTGTATAAGAAAATTACGCGATATACGTGGTTTTCTCGACCATCAACCCGTTCAGACTTGTCTACGCTCGTTATAAAGTCTTCTTAACCTGTTGTTTGCCTACCTTTCATTACCATGCACAATGGAGGAATAGTTCTCCATATTTTTCAGAGTTCCGTACATCATCGGGTCGGCTGTACCTCCCATGCGTTTACAAGGCCGACTACAACCCTAGCTCAACTTGTGGACTATATCCTAGTAACCTTGTCTACGTGATGTATAACTCAAAGCTTATCTGGAGGGCAATGTAGAAAGATTTTGAACGTATATTTAAAGATATCGAATCTGATGACGAATGAATTGCTGAAGATTAGGAAGCCAATAAAACTGAGGATGATCAAGTGCTCAATGAAGAAGGGAATGCACCAATCAATTATTTACCTTTGAGAGATATGATTGTGAACAAGGAAATATGATTGGTGTTAAATGTACTTCGAGTGAACCTGAGAATATTGATATCAGTGCCTAAGCAAATAGACAAGGATTCTATGAGAATGAGAGAGACGGTAAGGGTGATAATGTGACATGTAAAGGACTTATATGTTAATATTTGATCCTAATTGATATGATCCCAAATTGCTTAACCTTTGAGCTTTCATGGATTGATCAAGAAGTTAGTTTCACAAGGCAGAAAGAATCTGAATTTTGGTTAAGTCTTTTATGTGTTTCATGTTACCAACTTTGGAGGCTTGGTTCGATCAAGTCATTCAATGAAAATTTGAGTTTGATGGCTTGTTTTTGAAGATGGAGTAAACCTGTGCAAGATGGAAGGCTTATAAGTTCCAATTGAAGTATGGAAGACCATGATTGAAGCTCTCCAAGTTGCCAAATTAAAACCGAAAATCTGCCATTTTTGGCTAAGGCAAATAGCGAGATCAAGGTGCCAACTTTGGAACTTAATAGCTGGAGTTTGGGACACAAGCAGAGACTAATTCGAGTTGCCATGAAAAGAAGAGTACTTACTAAACCAAGGGCAGGAATTGGATGAAGACGAATGGCCTGGGAAGATAATTTTCGAGGCACTCAAAGATGTTGTCTCGAGCTGCCAGAAATCCGCATGACATTAGGATTCCGAGTTGGATTCGGATTACTTGTATAATTTAGTTTCCTTGCTGAATTAGTTTAGTTTCCATTAGTGTTTAGGTTTGTTTAAGCTTGTTTATGCCTTTAAAAGCCCTCATTCATGTATTGTGAAGTTCAGAGTTGATTTATGAAGATAACCCCAAAATTCCCAACGTTTTGAGTTGTGAAGTTGTCTTGTTTTGGTTGCGATCAAATTAAGCTTGCTGAATATTGGCCTATTAATCAAGCAAACCCCCTCGATTACATCGAAGGCGACCTCATAACAATCGAGCACTCTTCCTGGTGTAAGAGTTCCCTTTCGTTTCCATCGAAACCCCATTCAAACAAGCTTACCCAAGCTCTTTGGAATACCTTGTTCTTGTGTTCTCGAACAAGGAATTTTATTCCTTTGATTGAGCTATGCAATTATGATCCAAGAAGGCATCATTGTGAGGCGACTAGTGAAGGAAGAACCAGAGACAAAGAGATTCCTAAAGGATTTGTTAGGGTTTGGTAAGAAAGATATGGAAAGCAATAATTAAATGTGCAATAATCACATGTGGAAATCTCATGTCTGTTTGATAATCAGAATCGGTCTTAATCGTTTCTATGAAATCATTTACCAATTGGTCCAGATATCACCACTTCACTAAACAATATGTATTGATTCAAGCAATAAATCATATATTCGAACATTAATGTCATGCATCCACTAACCATAATGTTTTATCAATCAAAATATGAAGTTGTAAGTGCTTATCCCCTCCTATGGACTCAGAATTCGATACTATTGACAATGTGACGCTTCTTGCTTCAAACTCTCCGCAACAGCACAACGTATTTGATGTAATGATGGAGTTGGAAAGGAGTGTTCCCCTGAATGCATCATTGTTATTCAGAACCCGAGATTAACATCTCTAGGAACAAATAATGATAAACTACGTCGGGAAGCAACGGTTCATGTGCAAACCCCCCCACCCCCTATGCAACAGTTTGTATGGATATTTTATTTCAATCCAATCTTATGTCGAAACATCAAACAAACATAACTTTGTGCTCGCGTACCCGATCGTAGCGAGTTTTTTATTCCGCTTAATTTTCCGAGATCTTGCATGGCGAAACTTCTACAGGCGGTTTGGTTCCGCTTTTGTCCTAGAAAAACGCCGTTTGTTTCCCCGGACGAGCTTTTTTCCGATCGATTTCGCCAAACTTTGGACGACTATAACTTTATGCTCCGCACTTCGAACGTCATGAATTTTTTTTTTAATTTTGCGTAACTTTAGAAGGACTACAACTTTTACATGGAAGGAATTTTCAAAACAGGAATTATTTCTGGATATACGGGATTTTGGGAATAGCTTTACCTTCACTTTTCACAAATCCAAGTACATTCAGAAATTATGAATATGATAAAAATTGTAATCCTTGAAAAGTTAGACGAAATCAAAATAAAAATCATGACATTCGGATTGCGGAGAACAAAGTTATAGTCGTTTAAATTTTGGCGAAATCGGATAAAAGCTCGTTCGGGGTAGCTAACGTCGTTTTATCGGGACGAAGGCAGGACCAGACCGCCTGTGGCAGTTTGCGGCTTGCAAGATCTCGAAAAGTTATGTTGGAATAAAAACAAATCGCTACGATCGGATACCTGAGCACAAAGTTACGTTTGTTTAATATTTCGACTTAATAGGGCCTCCAATCGCGGAATTGAATATCATTTCATCCAAATAATGAACTCCTCATTATCCAGCCACCTTCCTTCCACAAGTTTACTGACTTCAATATGGATAACAGAGCACAATCCATCAAATGGAAACATGAAGAATCACAAGGAACGACCAATTGAGAGCCAAGCAACTCTCCACCTCTAATACACGAAATAGAAGAAATTGTTCTACCATCGCCTCTACACCCCAATCTGAAAAGGCGGATATCGAGATCGTACTCTCGAAAGAAGGGAAACAACCATGAACTTTGAGGATATTAATCTGGGCTAATCGATGCTACTACCCTTCTTGGATTGCTCGAATCCTACGAGATCGATTAATGCTAGAGATTTGGGGATTTATAGGATTAGTTTGGAGCAATGGATCTAGGGATTTTGGATCTTTTATAGAGAAAGCGAGAGTGAAGAAAGGTAGATGAGATCTGATTAGAGCGCTAGCTTTGGGGAACTGCTGGCTGCCTTCCTCACACCATCGACCCCAACACTGCTCGGTGACTCAAAGTATTGGATCTTCCTGGGAGAAGGATAACGCCATTTTTCTTTCTTCTGGAGTCGGATTGCGTTTTTTTCTACGCGAGAGCGATTAGATGAGAGAGAGACAGAGGGGAGGGGTCATAACTAATGTTCTAATTGAATAAATATCTTTTCCAAAAAATAATATTTTATGTCACTACTTACATTGCCACCAAAACGACATTTAACATATGTAAAGATAAACTGTGCCTCATAAAACAATGAACTAAAGGTGACGTTGGACTGCATCACAGGAAAGATTTATTTCGTCACGAATAGTTTTTTGCTAGGTCTGACAAAAAATTTAAGCTTTTTGTGACAAGCAGTAAATTTCGTCACACAAAATGTACATTATGTGACGAAATTTGACCCATCACAGAATATTTTTTCACAGAAGAGTAACTTTGTTGTACTGTCGGAAATAAGAAGGCGAGATCAAACCGCCTACGGCAGTTTGCGGCTTGCAAGATCTTGAAAAGTTATGCGGAATCAAAAAATATCTCGCTACGATCGGATACCGGAGCACAAAGTTACGTTTGTTTGTAGATTCGACTAAAGTCGGATGAAAAAAAAATATATATACATACAAACAGCTGCTTCTCGGCGTAGTTTATTAGACCACCACGCCCCAATGCGGTTTTCAGTGAAAAAGGCACCCTCCCCAAGCGATTTTCGGGAAATGTGGTGTTTTTGGAATTTTTCGGAAATTGGTGGTATTTTTGAATTTTTTTATTAAGTGGTGTTTCTGGAAAAGTTCCCCGTACTAGGGAAAACAATCAGAATTTAAGAAAGAAAAAAAGCTCTAGAATAAAAATAACCGTAATACAGTCCATTCTATAACTTTAATTGCATAATTAACCCTTGATCCTATTTGCACAGGAATACCTCTTTAAAATTGATAATCAAGATACCACAATAAAAGCGCTCAACTGGATAAGGATCGTTATCTCTACAATCAAATGAGGGTGGTAGATTTTGCATCCAATCAGTCCCAGTTCAGTGGAGATTTATAATAAGCAGGAATTTCTAGTAGGGCGATGTAGCTAGTGTTAGGAACAGAATGATTCAAACACATCATTTTGCTCGCATTTTCGAAGAATTTTTCTTGTGACCCGTAGGGTTTTGTTGATTACCGAGATTAATTATATGTTAATAAAAGATAATGAGGGTCTAGCAATGCACGTCGAGGATTCGGTAAGATCTATCTAGGATCGCCACAATTACGAAATTAAAGGATTGAATTTGGGAAAATGACTTATGAAATTTGTAAATTGGTAGTAGTGGGATATTAACTAGTTATCATTTTAAGGATCCGAAATGAAACATTAGCATATAACCAATGAAATTATAAAAATTGGATAAGTCATTTTAATAATATACAAATACAAATGAAACAATGTTTATGAGAGGGTACTAGGCTGATTACGTACATAATAGGAAATTTAAGACAATAAATAAATGAATATTTGTGCATCAAGGAAGGGAAGGGAAGAGGTAATCAGTTGGCAAGCGAATCTGTTGCACCAAAAAGCGGATGGTTGTGATTGTGGCCTCCATCAACTATCAAATTCAATCCGCTCACGTATTTTGCATCGTCACTGGCCAAGTATAAGGCAGCCCGAGCAACATCCTCGGGTTCGAGGATAGCCCCTCTCAAGTTTCCAGCGGCGGACATGAATTCCTCAGCAGCCTTCTTGTCCATTTGCATGCCGCTTGTGACCATGGGAGTGGCCACTCCATAGGGAGAAATGGTGTTGACCCTGATGCCGTACTTGCCCAGCTCCACGGTCAAGTTGTTGTTGAGCCCCAAAATAGCATGCTTGGAAGCCTTGTATGCGTAAGACAAGTCGCCACTTATAGAAGCGGCAACGCTGCCGGTGAACAAGATGCAACCTTTCCTTGCGGGAATCATAACCCTGGCGGCGTGTTTGGCTCCGAGGAAGGATCCGAAGAGGTTGATTTCAAGCACCTTCTTGAAGTCGGCGTTGTCCGAGTTTAAGATGGTGGTGTCGAGGTTACCTCCGATTCCAGCGTTGTTGTACATGATGTCTAGCTGGCCGTACCTTGACACCGCTGTATCAACGGCATTCTCAAGGTCAGAATCACTTGTAACGTTGCAGTGGACAAAGGAGACGATCTCCGGCGGGCCGAGATCCATGGCGAGGGACTGTCCGAGTTTGTCTTGAACGTCGGCGATGAGGACCTTGGCTCCGTGGTGGACGAACAGCCTGGCGGTGCTCTCGCCTATGCCGCTAGCTCCGCCGGTGATGATTGCCACTTTGCCCTCCAGCTTTCTAGGAGAGGCGGTTGAGATATCTGAGCTCACCATGTTTTGTTTTCTTTTGTTTTGTGGGGGAAATGAGTCGAGAGAGAGAGAATCAGTTTGCTTGCTGATGAATCTTTGTTTTTAAATTTGCCTTCGGTAAGAAGATGTTTGCTTGTGGTTGTTGGTTGAATGAGGGCTGAGCGTTCTTTATATATAGTTCTAGTTCTACATGCAGGCAAACCAATTTAGCGTGTCCTTTGACAATTAATTAATGGTGTACGTATTATAACATTCCCTCGTAGAATAGAATGGGGAGAGGAGATGAATATATAATTAGTTTCAAGGGTCAAGCCAATGACCTGAATCACAAGGTCAAGGTGAAAATGCGTACGTAGAAAAACAGTCCCGACGCGCAAGGCGCATAGACGTACGTAAGCCAATACCTGAATTATTTGGCTGCCTTCTTTGTTCACGAAGCCGTCACAACTGGGTGTTCAAAAATTCAACCAATATCCATCACAAAAAAATCCAACCCATACACACGCTTCATAATAATTATATTAAAAAAAAACCTTGCGTTAGAGACCTTCTACTTGTATAAGAAAATTACGCGATATACGTGGTTTTCTCGACCATCAACCCGTTCAGACTTGTCTACGCTCGTTATAAAGTCTTCTTAACCTGTTGTTTGCCTACCTTTCATTACCATGCACAATGGAGGAATAGTTCTCCATATTTTTCAGAGTTCCGTACATCATCGGGTCGGCTGTACCTCCCATGCGTTTACAAGGCCGACTACAACCCTAGCTCAACTTGTGGACTATATCCTAGTAACCTTGTCTACGTGATGTATAACTCAAAGCTTATCTGGAGGGCAATGTAGAAAGATTTTGAACGTATATTTAAAGATATCGAATCTGATGACGAATGAATTGCTGAAGATTAGGAAGCCAATAAAACTGAGGATGATCAAGTGCTCAATGAAGAAGGGAATGCACCAATCAATTATTTACCTTTGAGAGATATGATTGTGAACAAGGAAATATGATTGGTGTTAAATGTACTTCGAGTGAACCTGAGAATATTGATATCAGTGCCTAAGCAAATAGACAAGGATTCTATGAGAATGAGAGAGACGGTAAGGGTGATAATGTGACATGTAAAGGACTTATATGTTAATATTTGATCCTAATTGATATGATCCCAAATTGCTTAACCTTTGAGCTTTCATGGATTGATCAAGAAGTTAGTTTCACAAGGCAGAAAGAATCTGAATTTTGGTTAAGTCTTTTATGTGTTTCATGTTACCAACTTTGGAGGCTTGGTTCGATCAAGTCATTCAATGAAAATTTGAGTTTGATGGCTTGTTTTTGAAGATGGAGTAAACCTGTGCAAGATGGAAGGCTTATAAGTTCCAATTGAAGTATGGAAGACCATGATTGAAGCTCTCCAAGTTGCCAAATTAAAACCGAAAATCTGCCATTTTTGGCTAAGGCAAATAGCGAGATCAAGGTGCCAACTTTGGAACTTAATAGCTGGAGTTTGGGACACAAGCAGAGACTAATTCGAGTTGCCATGAAAAGAAGAGTACTTACTAAACCAAGGGCAGGAATTGGATGAAGACGAATGGCCTGGGAAGATAATTTTCGAGGCACTCAAAGATGTTGTCTCGAGCTGCCAGAAATCCGCATGACATTAGGATTCCGAGTTGGATTCGGATTACTTGTATAATTTAGTTTCCTTGCTGAATTAGTTTAGTTTCCATTAGTGTTTAGGTTTGTTTAAGCTTGTTTATGCCTTTAAAAGCCCTCATTCATGTATTGTGAAGTTCAGAGTTGATTTATGAAGATAACCCCAAAATTCCCAACGTTTTGAGTTGTGAAGTTGTCTTGTTTTGGTTGCGATCAAATTAAGCTTGCTGAATATTGGCCTATTAATCAAGCAAACCCCCTCGATTACATCGAAGGCGACCTCATAACAATCGAGCACTCTTCCTGGTGTAAGAGTTCCCTTTCGTTTCCATCGAAACCCCATTCAAACAAGCTTACCCAAGCTCTTTGGAATACCTTGTTCTTGTGTTCTCGAACAAGGAATTTTATTCCTTTGATTGAGCTATGCAATTATGATCCAAGAAGGCATCATTGTGAGGCGACTAGTGAAGGAAGAACCAGAGACAAAGAGATTCCTAAAGGATTTGTTAGGGTTTGGTAAGAAAGATATGGAAAGCAATAATTAAATGTGCAATAATCACATGTGGAAATCTCATGTCTGTTTGATAATCAGAATCGGTCTTAATCGTTTCTATGAAATCATTTACCAATTGGTCCAGATATCACCACTTCACTAAACAATATGTATTGATTCAAGCAATAAATCATATATTCGAACATTAATGTCATGCATCCACTAACCATAATGTTTTATCAATCAAAATATGAAGTTGTAAGTGCTTATCCCCTCCTATGGACTCAGAATTCGATACTATTGACAATGTGACGCTTCTTGCTTCAAACTCTCCGCAACAGCACAACGTATTTGATGTAATGATGGAGTTGGAAAGGAGTGTTCCCCTGAATGCATCATTGTTATTCAGAACCCGAGATTAACATCTCTAGGAACAAATAATGATAAACTACGTCGGGAAGCAACGGTTCATGTGCAAACCCCCCCACCCCCTATGCAATAGTTTGTATGGATATTTTATTTCAATCCAATCTTATGTCGAAACATCAAACAAACATAACTTTGTGCTCGCGTACCCGATCGTAGCGAGTTTTTTATTCCGCTTAACTTTCCGAGATCTTGCATGGCGAAACTTCTACAGGCGGTTTGGTTCCGCTTTTGTCCTAGAAAAACGCCGTTTGTTTCCCCGGACGAGCTTTTTTCCGATCGATTTCGCCAAACTTTGGACGACTATAACTTTATGCTCCGCACTTCGAACGTCATGAATTTTTTTTTTAATTTTGCGTAACTTTAGAAGGACTACAACTTTTACATGGAAGGAATTTTCAAAACAGGAATTATTTCTGGATATACGGGATTTTGGGAATAGCTTTACCTTCACTTTTCACAAATCCAAGTACATTCAGAAATTATGAATATGATAAAAATTGTAATCCTTGAAAAGTTAGACGAAATCAAAATAAAAATCATGACATTCGGATTGCGGAGAACAAAGTTATAGTCGTCCAAAGTTTGGCGAAATCGGATAAAAGCTCGTTCGGGGTAGCTAACGTCGTTTTATCGGGACGAAGGCAGGACCAGACCGCCTGTGGCAGTTTGCGGCTTGCAAGATCTCGAAAAGTTATGTTGGAATAAAAACAAATCGCTACGATCGGATACCTGAGCACAAAGTTACGTTTGTTTAATATTTCGACTTAATAGGGCCTCCAATCGCGGAATTGAATATCATTTCATCCAAATAATGAACTCCTCATTATCCAGCCACCTTCCTTCCACAAGTTTACTGACTTCAATATGGATAACAGAGCACAATCCATCAAATGGAAACATGAAGAATCACAAGGAACGACCAATTGAGAGCCAAGCAACTCTCCACCTCTAATACACGAAATAGAAGATACTTGTCAATTGTCATGAATTAGGTCAAATCGAATGGACGAAATTGTTCTACCATCGCCTCTACACCCCAATCTGAAAAGGCGGATATCGAGATCGTACTCTCGAAAGAAGGGAAACAACCATGAACTTTGAGGATATTAATCTGGGCTAATCGATGCGACTACCCTTCTTGGATTGCTCGAATCCTACGAGATCGATTAATGCTAGAGATTTGGGGATTTATAGGATTAGTTTGGAGCAATGGATCTAGGGATTTTGGATCTTTTATAGAGAAAGCGAGAGTGAAGAAAGGTAGATGAGATCTGATTAGAGCGCTAGCTTTGGGGAACTGCTGGCTGCCTTCCTCACACCATCGACCCCAACACTGCTCGGTGACTCAAAGTATTGGATCTTCCTGGGAGAAGGATAACGCCATTTTTCTTTCTTCTGGAGTTGGATTGCGTTTTTTTCTACGCGAGAGCGATTAGATGAGAGAGAGACAGAGGGGAGGGGTCATAACTAATGTTCTAATTGAATAAATATCTTTTCCAAAAAATAATATTTTATGTCACTACTTACATTGCCACCAAAACGACATTTAACATATGTAAAGATAAACTGTGCCTCATAAAACAATGAACTAAAGGTGACGTTGGACTGCATCACAGGAAAGATTTATTTCGTCACGAATAGTTTTTTGCTAGGTCTGACAAAAAATTTAAGCTTTTTGTGACAAGCAGTAAATTTCGTCACACAAAATGTACATTATGTGACGAAATTTGACCCATCACAGAATATTTTTTCACAGAAGAGTAACTTTGTTGTACTGTCGGAAATAAGAAGGCGAGATCAAACCGCCTACGGCAGTTTGCGGCTTGCAAGATCTTGAAAAGTTATGCGGAATCAAAAAATATCTCGCTACGATCGGATACCGGAGCACAAAGTTACGTTTGTTTGTAGATTCGACTAAAGTCGGATGAAAAAAAAATATATATACATACAAACAGCTGCTTCTCGGCGTAGTTTATTAGACCACCACGCCCCAATGCGGTTTTCAGTGAAAAAGGCACCCTCCCCAAGCGATTTTCGGGAAATGTGGTGTTTTTGGAATTTTTCGGAAATTGGTGGTATTTTTGAATTTTTTTATTAAGTGGTGTTTCTGGAAAAGTTCCCCGTACTAGGGAAAACAATCAGAATTTAAGAAAGAAAAAAAGCTCTAGAATAAAAATAACCGTAATACAGTCCATTCTATAACTTTAATTGCATAATTAACCCTTGATCCTATTTGCACAGGAATACCTCTTTAAAATTGATAATCAAGATACCACAATAAAAGCGCTCAACTGGATAAGGATCGTTATCTCTACAATCAAATGAGGGTGGTAGATTTTGCATCCAATCAGTCCCAGTTCAGTGGAGATTTATAATAAGCAGGAATTTCTAGTAGGGCGATGTAGCTAGTGTTAGGAACAGAATGATTCAAACACATCATTTTGCTCGCATTTTCGAAGAATTTTTCTTGTGACCCGTAGGGTTTTGTTGATTACCGAGATTAATTATATGTTAATAAAAGATAATGAGGGTCTAGCAATGCACGTCGAGGATTCGGTAAGATCTATCTAGGATCGCCACAATTACGAAATTAAAGGATTGAATTTGGGAAAATGACTTATGAAATTTGTAAATTGGTAGTAGTGGGATATTAACTAGTTATCATTTTAAGGATCCGAAATGAAACATTAGCATATAACCAATGAAATTATAAAAATTGGATAAGTCATTTTAATAATATACAAATACAAATGAAACAATGTTTATGAGAGGGTACTAGGCTGATTACGTACATAATAGGAAATTTAAGACAATAAATAAATGAATATTTGTGCATCAAGGAAGGGAAGGGAAGAGGTAATCAGTTGGCAAGCGAATCTGTTGCACCAAAAAGCGGATGGTTGTGATTGTGGCCTCCATCAACTATCAAATTCAATCCGCTCACGTATTTTGCATCGTCACTGGCCAAGTATAAGGCAGCCCGAGCAACATCCTCGGGTTCGAGGATAGCCCCTCTCAAGTTTCCAGCGGCGGACATGAATTCCTCAGCAGCCTTCTTGTCCATTTGCATGCCGCTTGTGACCATGGGAGTGGCCACTCCATAGGGAGAAATGGTGTTGACCCTGATGCCGTACTTGCCCAGCTCCACGGTCAAGTTGTTGTTGAGCCCCAAAATAGCATGCTTGGAAGCCTTGTATGCGTAAGACAAGTCGCCACTTATAGAAGCGGCAACGCTGCCGGTGAACAAGATGCAACCTTTCCTTGCGGGAATCATAACCCTGGCGGCGTGTTTGGCTCCGAGGAAGGATCCGAAGAGGTTGATTTCAAGCACCTTCTTGAAGTCGGCGTTGTCCGAGTTTAAGATGGTGGTGTCGAGGTTACCTCCGATTCCAGCGTTGTTGTACATGATGTCTAGCTGGCCGTACCTTGACACCGCTGTATCAACGGCATTCTCAAGGTCAGAATCATTTGTAACGTTGCAGTGGACAAAGGAGACGATCTCCGGCGGGCCGAGATCCATGGCGAGGGACTGTCCGAGTTTGTCTTGAACGTCGGCGATGAGGACCTTGGCTCCGTGGTGGACGAACAGCCTGGCGGTGCTCTCGCCTATGCCGCTAGCTCCGCCGGTGATGATTGCCACTTTGCCCTCCAGCTTTCTAGGAGAGGCGGTTGAGATATCTGAGCTCACCATGTTTTGTTTTCTTTTGTTTTGTGGGGGAAATGAGTCGAGAGAGAGAGAATCAGTTTGCTTGCTGATGAATCTTTGTTTTTAAATTTGCCTTCGGTAAGAAGATGTTTGCTTGTGGTTGTTGGTTGAATGAGGGCTGAACGCTCTTTATATATAGTTCTAGTTCTACATGCAGGCAAACCAATTTAGCGTGTTCTTTGACAATTAATTAATTAATTAATTAATTAATGGTGTACGTATTATAACATTCCATCGTAGAATAGAATGGGGAGAGGAGATGAATATATAATTAGTTTCAAGGGTCAAGCCAATGACCTGAATCACAAGGTCAAGGTGAAAATGCGTACCTAGAAAAACAGTCCCGACGCGCAAGGCGCATAGACGTACGTAAGCCAATACCTGAATTATTTGGCTGCCTTCTTTGTTCACGAAGCCGTCACAACTGGGTGTTCAAAAATTCAACCAATATCCATCACAAAAAAATTCAACCCATACACACGCTTCATAATAATTATATTAAAAAAAAACCTTGCGTTAGAGACCTTCTACTTGTATAAGAAAATTACGCGATATACGTGGTTTTCTCGACCATCAACCCGTTCAGACTTGTCTACGCTCGTTATAAAGTCTTCTTAACCTGTTGTTTGCCTACCTTTCATTACCATGCACAATGGAGGAATAGTTCTCCATATTTTTCAGAGTTCCGTACATCATCGGGTCGGCTGTACCTCCCATGCGTTTACAAGGCCGACTACAACCCTAGCTCAACTTGTGGACTATATCCTAGTAACCTTGTCTACGTGATGTATAACTCAAAGCTTATCTGGAGGGCAATGTAGAAAGATTTTGAACGTATATTTAAAGATATCGAATCTGATGACGAATGAATTGCTGAAGATTAGGAAGCCAATAAAACTGAGGATGATCAAGTGCTCAATGAAGAAGGGAATGCACTAATCAATTATTTACCTTTGAGAGATATGATTGTGAACAAGGAAATATGATTGGTGTTAAATGTACTTCGAGTGAACCTGAGAATATTGATATCAGTGCCTAAGCAAATAGACAAGGATTCTATGAGAATGAGAGAGACGGTAAGGGTGATAATGTGACATGTAAAGGACTTATATGTTAATATTTGATCCTAATTGATATGATCCCAAATTGCTTAACCTTTGAGCTTTCATGGATTGATCAAGAAGTTAGTTTCACAAGACAGAAAGAATCTGAATTTTGGTTAAGTCTTTTATGTGTTTCATGTTACCAACTTTGGAGGCTTGGTTCGATCAAGTCATTCAATGAAAATTTGAGTTTGATGGCTTGTTTTTGAAGATGCAGTAAACCTGTGCAAGATGGAAGGCTTATAAGTTCCAATTGAAGTATGGAAGACCATGATTGAAGCTCTCCAAGTTGCCAAATTAAAACCGAGAATCTGCCATTTTTGGCTAAGGCAAATAGCGAGATCAAGGTGCCAACTTTGGAACTTAATAGCTGGAGTTTGGGACACAAGCAGAGACTAATTCGAGTTGCCATGGAAAGAAGAGTACTTACTAAACCAAGGGCAGGAATTGGATGAAGACGAATGGCCTGGGAAGATAATTTTCGAGGCACTCAAAGATGTTGTCTCGAGCTGCCAGAAATCCGGATGACATTAGGATTCCGAGTTGGATTCGGATTACTTGTATAATTTAGTTTCCTTGCTGAATTAGTTTAGTTTCCATTAGTGTTTAGGTTTGTTTAAGCTTGTTTATGCCTTTAAAAGCCCTCATTCATGTATTGTGAAGTTCAGAGTTGATTTATGAAGATAACCCCAAAATTCCCAACATTTTGAGTTGTGAAGTTGTCTTGTTTTGGTTACGATCAAATTAAGCTTGCTGAATATTGGCCTATTAATCAAGCAAACCCCCTCGATTACATCGAAGGCGACCTCATAACGATCGAGCACTCTTCCTGGTGTAAGAGTTCCCTTTCGTTTCCATCGAAACCCCATTCAAACAAGCTTACCCAAGCTCTTTGGAATACCTTGTTCTTGTGTTCTCGAACAAGGAATTTTATTCCTTTGATTGGGCTATGCAATTATGATCCAAGAAGGCATCATTGTGAGGCGACTAGTGAAGGAAGAACCAGAGACAAAGAGATTCCTAAAGGATTTGTTAGGGTTTGGTAAGAAAGATATGGAAAGCAATAATTAAATGTACAATAATCACATGTGGAAATCTCATGTCTGTTTGATAATCAGAATCGGTCTTAATCGTTTCTATGAAATCATTTACCAATTGGTCCAGATATCACCACTTCACTAAACAATATGTATTGATTCAAGAAATAAATCATATATTCGAACATTAATGTCATGCATCCACTAACCATAATGTTTTATCAATCAAAATATGAAGTTGTAAGTGATTATCCCCTCCTATGGACTCAGAATTCGATACTATTGACAATGTGACGCTTCTTGCTTCAAACTCTCCGCAACAGCACAACGTATTTTATGTAATGATGGAGTGGGAAAGGAGTGTTCCCCTGAATGCATCATTGTTATTCAGAACCCGAGATTAACTTCTCTAGGAACAAATAATGATAAACTACGTCGGGAAGCAGCGGTTCATGTGCAACCCCCCCCCCCACCCCCTATGCAACAGTTTGTATGGATATTTTATTTCAATCCAATCTTATGTCGAAACATCAAACAAACATAACTTTGTGCTCGCGTACCCGATCGTAGCGAGTTTTTTATTCCGCTTAACTTTCCGAGATCTTGCATGGCGAAACTTCTGCAGGCGGTTTGGTTCCGCTTTTGTCCTAGAAAAACGTCGTTTGTTTAATATTTCGACTTAATAGGGCCTCCAATCGCGGAATTGAATATCATTTCATCCAAATAATGAACTCCTCATTATCCAGCCACCTTCCTTCCACAAGTTTACTGACTTCAATATGGATAACAGAGCACAATCCATCAAATGGAAACATTAAGAATCACAAGGAACGACCAATTAATTGAGAGCCAAGCAACTCTCCACCTCTAATACACGAAATAGAAGATACTTGTCAATTGTCATGAATTAGGTCAAATCGAATGGACGAAATTGTTCTACCATCGCCTCTACACCCCAATCTGAAAAGGCGGATATCGAGATCGTACTCTCGAAAGAAGGGAAACAACCATGAACTTTGAGGATATTAATCTGGGCTAATCGATGCTACTAACCTTCTTGGATTGCTCGAATCCTACGAGATCGATTAATGCTAGAGATTTGGGGATTTATAGGATTAGTTTGGAGCAATGGATCTAGGGATTTTGGATCTTTTATAGAGAAAGCGAGAGTGAAGAAAGGTAGATGAGATCTGATTAGAGCGCTAGCTTTGGGGAACTGCTGGCTGCCTTCCTCACACCATCGACCCCAACACTGCTCGGTGACTCAAAGTATTGGATCTTCCTGGGAGAAGGATAACGCCATTTTTCTTTCTTCTGGAGTTGGATTGCGTTTTTTTCTACGCGAGAGCGATTAGATGAGAGAGAGACAGAGGGGAGGGGTCATCACTAATGTTCTAATAGAATAAATATCTTTTCCAAAAAATAATATTTTATGTCACTACTTACATTGTCACTGTTGGGGGTATTACCCAGCAAGCTAGGAGTTTGGGCTCCCAAAGAAGGAGTTGGGGGGAAAGGCCCAAAAGATAGGAGTCAATATCCACTAGTGGCCCTTGGGCCCAAACAAGAGAAGAGATCTTAAGAATGAAGCACCAAAAGCCAGGTGGCGGTCAACTGGCTGGCGGACCACTGCCTGCGGGCGCCTGTCATGTGTCAGGAGCCTGGCAGAGCTGTGGGCTGCCTGTCAGGTGCCAGGAGCCTGACAGGGTGGTTAGCTGTCTCACAGAGGGGCACAGAGCATTAAATGAGGATGGTGACGTGGCGGAGATCAACCTCGGGTTCGGTGAGTATAAATAGGGGCAGTCGATAGCATTTATGCAGGTTGGCTGCTCGGACTAAAACCAGACTTTATACTTCTCTCTCTAGACTTGGTTCTGACTTGGGCGTCGGAGTGCTAACGGGCATTCCCAAGCCCTTTAGGCGCTTGTCCTTGCAGGATCCGGGCGCCCCGAGTGAGTACGAAAGGGTCGAGATCAAGTGAGGTGGGACTAAAGGAACGTGGCACAAACAATTGGCGCGCCAGGAAGGGGGCGACATGGAAAACTTGAACGTTGCGAACGACGGGGAAGACGTTTCGAGGTTGAACAACTCGAGTCATGAGGAAGGCGAGCAGCAACCGAGCCGGGAGTTGAACATGGAGGCGGAGGGGGAAGCGAGCCCTGGGCGCCTATCGGCGGATGAAGGGGAATCTTTGACGAAGAGAGAGCTATTTCGAATTATAGCCGACCAAGATCGGGCCATTGCGGCGCTCAGAAGGGAGTTGGATGGGGAGCGAAGTGAGGACGTGATGATGCATAGCCCAGGAGCTAGGAAGCGAGAAAGAATGGGGGAGGATTCGGAATCTTTGCAACACGGGCACCCATACCAAGCTGATCAAGGACATGACGTACCAAGGCGTTCACGCGCCTGGAAAATGCCCGCTGAGCATACCCAGGCGGAGCCAGAAGACTTGTGGGCGCCTAGAAGAATCGCCAAGCGGTTCGGTGTCCGGCAACCATTGGCGCGAAGCATCCTAGTGGAACCGGCGGGAACCACAATTCCCCCGTTACCCAGTTACGACGGGGTGGCGGACCCAGAAGATCATTTGAACAGCTACTTCACGAAGATGCAACTTTACAACAGCTCAGACGCCACGTTATGCAAGGTGTTCCCATCCACGTTTGCAGGCGTAGTATTGGATTGGTACCATCAAATCGAAGAGGGGCGCATAGAATGTTTTGAGCAGTTTGCAGAGTTATTTTTGTCCAAATTCGCAAGTAGGAAGCGTCGGACACTAACCATAGGCGCATTGTTCAAGGTAAAGCAGAGGGAAAGGGAGGCGCTTAGAGAATTTTACGACCGGTGG